GTCCTTTCTAAACAGAAAGCTTTTGATCTACTGCAAGTATCTCAAACTATACCAAATAGTGTGTTGGATTTCTGAAGCGTTTTCACTTGGAGTTTGAAGTGCACAAATGTTGAACCATATTTAACCATTCCCTGCCGAATCCTCGGAATCGCCGATGAAAGCTGGTCCTGGCAGGATTGCTTTGGCCGTGTGCTGGCGACCCTTGCAGGCCCGGTGCGGGACGATCGAATGGCGTGGAAAGGTAAGCTAGCCGAACAGGTGTGGAGGGCAAACAGTTGGCAGATACAATCATATACGATGAAAAACATTGCAACGGGATGGAACGGGGATCCTATACGTTTTTTGACCTTTCATATATAAAGCTGCAGTTGATCCTTTCATCGGTGGTGAGATCGCATGCGACCTCGCCATCCTCCAGTGTGGAGTTCTCCCGTTTCGGTTTGGTGGTGACTCGTGCGCAGGTGTTGCGATCTTGTCAGCGTTCTCCTCCTCCTTGGGTTTGTGCCTGGATCGAGCTGCAGGGTGGGGAACCCAGTGGAACAAAGGGAGAGCAGGACTTGAGAGAAGTCTGAAAGTAGTTACGAAGAATCCTGTCGTAGTCCATCCCCTTGCATTTGTCTCCAGGAGTCAACCTGTTATGGATCAATGGATGGATGATTCTACGGAGTTTTTTGAGTGACAGAAATACTGTAAACGGAAGCTGTCCTGATTCCATGATGTTTCATCAACGGTTTTCGTTACAGGTGGCAACTGGGATGAGCAAAGGAACAAAGCAATGACTCTGCTCGGGTCGTAAGGGGGGGGAGTTCAAATTCTCCAGATGCTGGGCATTCGAATCCAACATTATCCAACCAAATCCAACCATTTCCTAAACCATCGGACAAATCGGCGAATCTGCTCAAAAAGCTTGTTTTTTCCCACCCACGCATTCAAGTTTGATTGCTTCTTATTTTCAACGGCATTGCACGTCGAAGCGAGGTTGGCCTGGGTCCTCTTGAGCGTTTGCTACCTGGGCGCTTCGCCTTTGTTGAAGATGCCGATGCGGGGCCTTGCCGAGAGGCGCGGTGAAATCAGAACCAATAGGAGAAGCAGAATAGGGGTGGTTGGCTGGGAACGCAACCTTGACAGATTCTGTTGAACAACATATGTCTTCTTTAAGCCTTGGGGGTAGTGTCATTTTCTGGGGTCCAGGCTGTATCCATGACCATCCATGACCATCTATGACCCCCTGAACCACACACACGACATTGGTTATGGAGGTCAGTCGGGGCGTCCTTCGGCCCGTTCGGCCTGACCGCTCCTCCGTTCGGGGGGACCTCATGCGCGTTGCGCGCAGGGTGTGTGACCAGCTCTACTTGAAGGGTGGTGAAGAGTTGGTGAAAGCCATCTGTTTGGAGGCACGGATCGGATTGCGCGGGGCGTCTCCGAGCGAGGTTCTAGATCGCCACCACAATCCAATGCAATCCATGAGGGTGATGATTTGACTCAACATCCTAGCGGCTATGTCAGCTTGCTGTTGGCTTTGGGTTTTGGTTGCTTTCCCGTTCGAGCCTAATGTATTCCATGCTGTTCAGGAGTTTGCACACAGTTGATTTCACTATGAAGGCTGCTGTGATTGGGGAGAAAGCCTGGAAAACTGTTGAGAAGAAACCTCACACATCCTCACACCACCTGCACCCCCCATCAATCAATGCTCACGGTCGCTCTTGCCACTTCGCAGTCTATCTTGCTTCACGCCAGTAACAACAGTCCAAGTGTTACGAGTACTTGTAGCTTCTTGTTCCTATAGAGTAGCAATCGCCAGGAGCCCCGTTCGTAGCGTCCGCTGCTCCGTTCGTAGCGATGCCCTTTGTTCCGTTCGTCGCGTCCTCGAGGCCTCGTCCCAAAGTGCGGCCGTGCTCGTGGCCTCGGGCGCGGCGTCGCAGCTGCGTTCCCGCGGGCGCGGCGTTTCGGCGAAGCGAACCGCGCCCATCTGTTTCTGTGTCGGGTTGCTCCAAAGCAGGAGGGGCTGAGTATTCAGTTTTTGTCCATCCTTCTTGTCCAGTTTCGTCTCCACCTCGGCGAACAGCGGATGGAAAGACTCCGTCTTCACCCTCGGCCGGACCGGGACCCGTCCGAGTCTTGGGCCTCTTGAGCTATCCGCTCTTCACCGCCCAGCTGCGGTCGCTCCTGAAGCCGGGGCGCCGAACGGGAGGGTGAACGAGGAACGGGAGAATGTTCGGAATGGTGGGTTTGTTGAGCAAGAAGTGAGATGCACTGCTAGACACTTCTAGAAAGAACAAAAGGGTTCATAGAAGCTTCCTTACGAACAAGCATTCTTTTCAGCACGCTGTTCAAAGAATCAGCTGTGGATCTTTTAGGTCGAAACGGAAAAAAAAGGACGACGAAGACATGCCCTTCGCCTTCGCGTCCGAGGCGTATCCCCCTGCCTTCCCAACTGCACCGGTCCTTTGTGACGCTTTTCCTGGTGCTCTTGGCCCTGCTGCTTTCCATGCTTCAGGAGGCGCCAGTCTCGACGAGACGCTGAGTGGGATGATCGAAGTTTCGCTTGGATCACATCAAAAGGCCAAAAGGCTACAAGTGCAGCCGCTCTATAGAGTACAGCTGCAGCATGCTGCAGCCATAAGATGCTATTATATAGAGAGGCTTTTCTTCACTTCCCATTGGACTGGCTCACTTGGGGCCTTTACCGCATCTCCAACCCAAAGCTGGCACTTTTCGGTCAGGTCCTCAGCGAAGCTGCAACGAGCACTCCTGCGCCAGCGCCCTCGGTCGAGTCCGCTTGGTACTTGTTTTATATATTTTTCTTCAAGCCCGATCCAACCTAAGAGCGATGGCCTCCAACCTAGTCGGATTTCTTCCAGTTGGTGCAATCCAAGAGCAGTCTTGGCAAACTGTTGTTAATGTGTCGCATGTTTGCGACGTGACTCGAAGTGTCGAGTGACCGGCCACTCCAGGTTTCTAGGTGCCTTCGCTGTGGTCTTTCTGGCCACATTGTTGGATGGAATCACCCTGCTGCAGAAGGTGCGATGCGAAGCTGCAGGAGAAGTGGATCAGAAGAACATGTGGCTAACCGGATGCAATAGGAAGGTTCGGGAGAAGGATATGAAGCTAGTAGAAACAAGTGCCTTACTAGTAGTAACAAGAAGCGCCACGCTAGTAGTAACAGGTGCCTTACTAGTAGTAACAAGAAGCTATTAGTAACAAGTGCCACGCTAGTAGTAACAGGTGCCTTACTAGTAGTAACAAGAAGCTCACATGACATATAAACGCCACAGCTGCTTCCTTCGAAAGCCGGTTTGCTTTGCCTATAGACATCTGTAAGACCACCCTTGAGATCACCAAGATTTAACACTGGATTCCTCGACGAATCTGCAGTTTGTCGTTTTTAAAGCAAGCCCAGTGTGTTTCCTGCCTATATATTAATTTACTCAGCGTGGAGGGCTGTTTTCAGAAAGAGTCTTGAAACACAGAGACGATTTGCAAAACGATCAGAAGACATGTTGTGGAAAAACATGATACTTCTTCAGGGGAACAGTAGACAGGGAACCGAAAGTCAAGACCTTGAACTCCGAAATCGGATCACAGGTCTTGCACAATCGCAGCTGCACCACGGCTTCGGCCGTGGGCCGCGTGTTTCGCTCAGCGGATGTTTGTTCAGAGCCAGGCTCCTAAGTAAGTGTCTGGCAATCGTCACATGTATTGATCAGTGTTTGCTATGGATCAGAACAAGGACACCGCATGGTACCGCACTGCTGCAATCCAATTGGACAGATCGTTTGTCGTCCGTCAACCATCGACTGGAAGCGCCAAGGGCCTTCACTTTTGGATTGCTCAGCGTGATGCTGAAGTGGCAGCATTGGAGGCAGGGTCTCGCCGTTCGATTTGGAACAATTTGATATTCAAGAGATTCAACCATTGCATGGCAAAATCCACAGATTGCAAGGCTTAAACATCGAATTTCATCGCATCGGTCAACAAAGTGCCAGAACCGAACCAGTGCCGGACACGGAGTTGGACACGTGAGACAACACCCAAACACCAGCTTTCACTTAATATTGTTGGGATATTCACCTTTGTTTGTTTGTTTGCAATTGGAGCGCAGAATTCAGGCAAGTGCTGATTGGAAGCTTCATTTCCGCTGGGGTCCCCAGCCAGATAAGAAGTATGTTGCTTCAAGTTACCTGGGAATTGAAAGAAACGCCTGACAAAGCAAGGCTAGCTAGCGAACTAGCGCCACTGGGTTCAAAATCAACAGAGTCCATGACCCCTTTCAGCGGCTCCACTGAGGTCGGTATTCCGAGTGTGATACCCTTTGGAGATACCGGCGGTTGCCACTCTGGCAATCTTGGTCTCGAGTGCTCCAGGCCGCTGTCGCAAAAATGCACGGTGTAGCGAAGGACACTGAGGAAGGAAGGGAAGAGACTAAAGAGGTCTAGTAGCGTTCTTGCTCCTAGTCCTTATAGTAGTATGGCCAGAAGCCCCTAGTAGCTTCTTGTTCCTAGTAGCGATGCCAGGAGCCCCTAGTAGCTTCTTGTTCCTAATAGCGATGCTCACGGGACGCGACTGCTCGTCGCGGCTGGACGGATGTCAGGCCCTGGGATTGCTCACCTGGTCGTGGCTCATTTATCCACATTGGGATGTGGTCTTCATGCTAGGCGCCGGTGTGCCATGGTGTTTGTGCCAGTGTGCCGGTGCTGCGTGGAAAGCCTCACTCGCGCGAATCTGTTTTTTAAATGCTGCGTGCATTGAACATCGCTTTGCTCATCTTTGCTCATATGTTATGTTGCGATATGTTGCGTTATTGTTTTCACCCAGCTATTTAATTTAGTGTAATGTTTATAACATGTTATAATCATATATGTTATAACACTTAATTACAACATCATGTTGTTGCATTGCATTCCGCAAGCTCCTTCACTTGTTGCCGGAATACTCGACGACAGGTGCTGCCCTCAACCTGGTTGACCTGTCCGGGGCATCGGTGTTTTTTTTTAGCTTTCCGCAGATCGGCAGATCTGGCAGTGCCAAGGAAAGGCCATGAAAACCGATGAAAGGCACATCGTTTTCTGCGGTTTATAGGCGGTTGATCTGCGTGTTTTCTGCATACTGAACATGGATTGAGAGATGTGGAGACCGAACGCCAGTGACCGGCTACCAGTCTGGCTCCTTCAGGAGCCTTTCCAGCGCTGAGCGCCATGTCATCCCTACACACTCGCGGATACTGGAGACTGGTGCTGGAAGAGAACGATGGTGATGAGCAGAAGCTTAAGGATAGGGGTTGCTAAAGCCGGCAGGTGATGAGCTTTGAGGCCCAAGAAAGTCCATCAGTTGATTGCTCCTGCATTGGGTGGCCACTCCTTCAGAAATTCTCTGAGTTTTCCTCCTTTTTTCCCTCTCGTAGCGCTTCTTCGAAAGGCATATACCTGCGAATGTATACACCTGCTTCTTCGGTCGAAGGATGTTCGTCCATGTCGCTGTGCATCGGCGCCTCAAACGCGCCATGAGCTGAAAGGGCTCGATGAAGTCAACGATGGGCTCGTTGGGCCGACAGTTCGGCAGTTCGGCGATGGATGAAATCGGAATGATCGAGGGGATGTCGTTTTGCGTCTGTATGGCAATATGCTTCCTAAAAAAGTCTTGACAAGATCAATGATCATTCCCACCCAAGAAGCTCCAACGACTCCAAAGCTTTATCTCCTACTAGGAACAAGAAGCTACTAGGGGCTCCTGGCATCGCTACTAGGAGCAAGGACGCTACTAGAGGCTATCCTGGCTTTACTACTAGGAGCAAGAAGCTACTAGGAACAAGGACGCTAACAGTCTTTGGAGCTCCAAAGGCTCCAAAGACTCTATGATCCGTGGAGGATATCGTCTTGAAGGACACCGAGGTGGTGGGCATTCTGGCGGCCTTGGTCCTCACCATCACCGTCGCGGTCTCCACGGTGGTCCATAGCGAGCTGAAACAGCCCTCCTATTGGAGACTGATCTATGCCACGTGACACATGAGGACGATGAATATGTACGATAGAGTATGGCAGGTTGGAAGAAGGGCGCAAGAAGGGCGTGAAGATGGGAAGGGAAGTTGCATTCAAGAAAGGTTGAGAAAGATCTTCTCTTTGAGATGTTTTGCTTTTCCTTGTGCATAGTACTGGGCGGGGTCATTCCTATATTCAGCTTGTTTGGAAGAGGCCAAACAAATTCCTAAGGTGACCTTGGGCTTTTGCAGTTTCATCTTCTCTTTGATCTCTTTGATGATCGCTTCACGTTTGCTCCTCTCCATCAACAAGCTCCACCCGCGGAAGGTCCTCCGGTGTTTGGAGCTCTTGGAGAAGGGCTGGGCCTCGGTGGATGGCTTCTGGTGGTTCCACCGCAGCTTGATCTTCCTGCTGCTGTCCGTCTTGATGTGTCTAGTTGTGCACAAGAAATTGATGTATGTTTGCATATTTTTGCTTGTTTGATTTTTTCGGTTGGTTGAAGTATGTTGGACTCCTTATACTGCGTTGTAGATATAGGTTGTACTTTGTATGCAACACGTCGTGTTGCAAACGTTTGCTTTTATGCAACTGTTATGTGCAAGTGGAGATGCACAACAATTTAGAGTAGAACTGCTCCACATATCCTTAATCCAACACATACCCCAAATACGTTCTCAATCGTTCTCAGTAGATATCTTATCTCCCGTCCATGTCTTTGCAGGGTTTGACCCTGGTTTGATCTGCTGACTGAGTTCTGTTTATTTGCTCTATGGCCAAAGCTGTTTCATCATTTGCTGCGTCCTTGGACTTCTGCCTGGAGCTATGATGTGGCACTTGCACCGAGCCCACGTGGGGGTTGTGTGGCCATTGATTAACCTGGTGGAGAGCGAAACTTCGGATTCGGATAAGAATGGTCTGGTTTGAGAAAAGCACCACGCGACCGTCCCACGTGGCATGGCCTGAATCCCTCCACCGGAGCAGAGAACGTCGATGGTCCGGCTCCTCGTCTTCCACCTGCATGAGGATCCTCTCTGGATGCGATCTGCGCGATGTTCTCTGAGGATCCCAATGGGGATCCGTACCGATCCCTCGCGTCGATCGGCCGGCGCGCCACGTCGTTCGGACTCGGCCGGAGAGCGGCGGAGGAGACGGTCACGGATTGGTCCGGTCCGCGTCCGGCTGATGCCACCAGCTTCGCAAAAGGTGGGGCGAATGCCAGGCGTTCTTTGGGTATAGATCTATAGGATTCTGTAGGAATACGAACGGAATGAGGATGGAGATGGATAGCTCGAAATCCGATTGTTTGCGGCATCAGTTGGAGACATCTCAATCTCAGTATGTTCAAGTAACTTCTCCAGAGTTTGAACAGCTAACCCTATTATAGATTGAGATGCAACGACCTTCTTGTTCAAGAATCTTCAACAATATTCACAAATTGTGTTTTGCAACATACATATTCCCGCACGTTTTGAGGGTGATGAGTGAAATTCCCACCTCTTCCAAGACCTGTTTGTGTCACCATCAAATTCAATGCTGTATTTACCAATGACACAGAAACAATGCGGAAAGCGAATGTCAGAAGCAAAGCACTGAAGACATTCATTCACCGTACCATGATTCTACTGTATAGATGCTACTAGTAACAAGTGCCTTACTAGTAATTAGTAACAAGTGCCTTACTAGTAGTAACAAGTGCCTTACTAGTAGTA